GTCTGTACACAATTCAGTTGAGATTCTTGAGGCTTCAAGTTGTGCCGTGGGGCCATAAGCAGGGCTCCTTTGATTGCAAATGACAGAATACCTCAGTCTGAGCTGGTTTGAGCAAAAAGGAGATTTATTTACCTTGTGCAATTAAACAGCCCAAGAGTGGCTCCAGTGAGGTAGAAAATGCCAACTGACCCAGGCAGCACCAATTCAATTTTGTTCTTTCAGAATTAAAGCCATGTCTGAACGGAGACTATATTCCCCATTCTCCTTGGAGACAGGTGTGGTCTTGCAACAACGTGTCAATCAGTGGAACATAAGAGAAAGAGGTTTGAAATATCTGGATGAAATTTTTATCTGGAGGATGTTTTCCGTCCATGCTCTCTCCTCCCTTCCTGGGAAGTGGCAGTTAACTAGACCCAAGGATGGAAACCGTGTCTGCAGCTGACCCACCTGCCTGAGTCCCTGGATGACCTTTTGGAACTGAGCTAACTATCTGCACATCTGTTTTGTTCAATGAGAGATAAATCAACTTTTACCCAATCTAAATCATTGCATTTTTGGGCTCTAATTGTAACAGCAGCTTCACAAGTATTTATAACATAGTAGTCTCTTGGGGGTGGGGTGGGTTACCTGGACTGCAAGGAGATCCAACCATTCAATCCTAAAGGAAATCAACCCTGAGTATTCACGGGAAGGACGGACGCTGATGCTGATGCTGACGCGCGTATCCTTTGGCCGTGTGATGTGAAGAACTGACTCTCTCTAAAAGACTCTGATGCTGGGCAAGATTTAAGGCAGGAGGAGAAGGGGAGGGGAGAGAAAGAGATGCTTGGATGGCATCACCAACTCAAAGGGCATAATGGACATGAATTGGCACAAACTCTGGGAGATTAGTGAAGGACAGGGAAGCATGGCATGGGATCCATGGGATCGCAGAGAGTCTGATACCACTTAGTGACTGAACGATAACAACAGGTTCCTGGGGTGCTAGATCAGGGGGTTCCAAATGGTACCATCAGGATTTGGTTTGCTTCTCTGAATCTCTTGGTCTGCTTCTTCTCTGTGGCCTCTAGACTCTATTTCAGCCAAACACAGTATGAACCTTTGGCCCAGTAGTCATCAAAAGTAACATAACTCTTAATGCACCAACTTAGGTCATGTGTCCACGTCTAAACCAATCAGTGTGTTTGAAAGAAGGCAGTGTACAAGGCTGCACACTTGTGCTGGTGATTATACCCCAGGTGACAACAGTGACCAGTACTGGAAGAAGGTTATTTGCATGCTGTGGAAGCAAACAAAAATGGATACATATGAAGTTCTAAGTGTTAAAATTGAGTTAAAAGCCGGGATTGAAATAATGATTTTTCTGTATCAGACATCTCTAGTGAAACTAAATTGTGTGTGGCTGTGTGTCTGACATGCACAGTTATACAAGTTGTGTACTGTGCAACTCTTACAAGTACTATTTACATTGTGCGTCTCTGAGAATTACTACTTTCTCTTCAGCATTAAAAAATCCAAACGATTTTTTAAATCATTTCATCCTCTTTTGGTGAGAGATTTAAACTTAAAACATCATTTTCATTGAATGACAACATGATGATAGAGCTGGTGGTTTACTGTATAACAAAAAAGAGTTCTCCCTGTCAGAAGATTTGATTTTTGATGGTCCCAATTTAGTCTCAGTTCCCCTCTGACACATTCTAGGGTGAATCTCTTCTTTAATTGACACCCATCAAACCAAGATGGCTCAAAGTCAGTGTTCCCAGAGAGAAAAATTCCTATAATCTTAGAGTTGAAAAACCTTTGAATGTCATTAGGTCAAAGAATCCACTAAATAAATGAATCCTTTCCTCAATAGCTCTGAGCAAAGGTCACCCAGCCTTCATTCAATCACCTCCAGGGGACAAGACCTGTCAGATTTCCGACTCCACCTTTGCTTCTGTGGACAGTGCAAGAGATTGTAAAGATTTTTGGAAATCAGCTAGTAACCTCCCTGCCCCATGACACCTGTTCTTCAGAAGGGGTATGTTGTTATTGTTCAGTCACTAAGTCATATCCGACTCTTTATAACCCCACAGATGCAGCATACCAGGCTCCTCTGCAGTCTTCTGGAGTTTGCTCCAATTCCTGTCTGTTGAGTCAGTGATGCTATCCAGCCATCTCATCCTCTGCTGCCTACTTCTCCTTTTGCTTTTAATCTTTGCCAGCAGCAGGGTCTTTTGCAATGAGTCAGGTCTTCACATCAAGTGGCTAAAGTACTGGAACTTCAGCATTGGTCCTTCCAATGAGTATTCAGAGCTGATTTCCTCTAGGATGGACTGGTTTGCTCTCCTTGCAGTCCAAGGGACTCTCAGGAGTCTTCTCCAGCACCACAATTCGTTCTCCGGCGCTCAGTCTTCTTTATGGCCCAACTCTCATATCCATCATGACTACTGGAAAAACCATAGCTTTGACTATAGGGACCTTTGTTGGCAAAGTGATGTCTCTGCTTTTTAATATGCTGTCTAGGTTGGTCATAGCTTTCTTTCCAAGGAGAAGGGATATAGGGCAGTGTTTACCATGAGAACTGGTGGCGTATCCATCTCCCTTCTGATGGAACCGGGTTCAAATCTCTTTAATTCCTCTGAGCTTCAGTTTCTATAAAATGTGGTCCCTAGTTCATTTTCCTTTAGTAGCATTAGCGTATTGCCTAACGCCTCGTTCCAAGCAATGATCGCTATTATCAAGTCAAACAGGTTTCAGGAAGGCAGTGCAGCCAGGGCCAGGTGGATGTGCAATGGGTATGAACATGGCTGCGGCCAGGTTCAAGAGGAATAAACAGAGTCTTGCTGTTCACAAGGGGCTACCTTATACGGGAGGGGACCTGTAGGGTATACGGGAGTTTACCGGGGTCTGGCTAAGGGCTTAGAGGGCGCCTGACACTAAGGATTTATTCAGCATCTGCTCTGGGCCGGGCTTAGCGGGTACAGGTGTTAATGAGGCCAAGGGTCAACCTCTGGGAAACTCACAACCGGCCGGGAAAGACAGGCTCAAACAAGCAAAATGTGGAAAATGATATCACCGCAGGCTAGGTCCAGGATGCCAAGGAAATCCGAGGAAGCTGGCAGCTTAAGCCAGGACACTATCCCTCCCCTCCTATGCCAAGGTCAAGGCTAACCGCGGCAACACCACCCCGCCCCAGGCGCACACACAGCAGAGGGAAAAGCGAATCCTTCTCCGGAGAGAGCTGGGGGCGCAGGGAGCGGAGGGGTAGACGGGCTGAGAAAAGTGAGATTCCCTCTCCATCTGAAAGGAGCTGGGGATCTCCGCGGGCGTGGGCGAGGCGCGGGCGCGCAGGGCAACTCGGGGCCCCGGGAGGGGACGGGTCAGAGGACCGGATCGGGCCAGGTAGGCGCGAGAGGGGTGGGGGAAAGAGTGCGCCCTCAAGGTTGTCCGCCTGCGGGCGGCCGGCGGCTCCGCCTGCTCCCTCTCCTCCCCCGACCCACCCCGAGAGGCCGGGCTGGATCCCAGAGCGCTGCTCCTCCTCGCCTTCCTCCCCCCTCCTCGCAGCCCCGCCCCCCCCCCCCCCCGGGGAGGGGACTGGATCGCTGAGCCCCGCCCCTCCCTCCCCTCCCCCCTGCTCCCCTCCCCTCGCCCCCTCCTCTCCCCTCCCCCCTCCCAGAAATAGGGCTGGATCGCTGAGCGCCGCCCCTCCCTCCCCTTCCCTTCCCTCCCCTCCTCCTCCCCCCTCCCCTCCTCCCCCCTCCCCCTCCCCCTCCCCCCTCCCCCTCCCCCCTCCCCTCCTCCTCCCCCCCCCCCCCGACCCGCAGACGCAGGGCTGGATCGCTGAGCGCCGCCCCTCCCTCCCCCTCCCCCCTCCCCTCCTCCTCCCCCCTCCCCTCCTCCCCCCTCCCCTCCTCCCCCCTCCCCCCTCCCCCTCCCCCCTCCCCTCCTCCCCCCTCCCCTCCTCCCCCCTCCCCTCCTCCTCCCCCTCCCCCTCCCCTTCCCCCCTCCCCTCCTCCTCCCCCCCGACCCGCAGACGCAGGGCTGGATCCCGGAGCAGCGCCGCCCCTCCCTCCCCTTCCCTTCCCTCCCCCCTCCCCCTCCCCCCTCCCCCTCCCCCCTCCCCTCCTCCTCCCCCTCCCCCCTCCCCCTCCCCCCTCCCCTCCTCCTCCCCCCTCCCCTCCTCCTCCCCCCTCCCCTCCTCTCCCCTCCCCCCTCCCAGAAATAGGGCTGGATCGCTGAGCGCCGCCCCTCCCTCCCCTTCCCTCCCCACCCCTCCCCCCTCCCCTCCTCCTCCCCCCCCGACCCGCAGACGCAGGGCTGGATCCCTGAGCAGCGCCGCCCCTCCCTCCCCTTCCCTTCCCTCCCCTCCCCCTCCCCCTCCCCCCTCCCCTCCTCCTCCCCCCCGACCCGCAGACGCAGGGCTGGATCCCTGAGCAGCGCCGCCCCTCCCTCCCCTTCCCTTCCCTCCCCTCCTCCTCCCCCCTCCCCTCCTCCCCCCTCCCCCCTCCCTCCTCCCCCTCCCCCTCCCCCCTCCCCTCCTCCTCCCCCCCACCCGCAGACGCAGGGCTGGATCCCTGAGCAGCGCCGCCCCTCCCTCCCCTTCCCTTCCCTCCCCTCCTCCCTCCCCTCCCCCCTCCTCCTCCCCCCTCCCCCCTCCCCTCCTCCCCCCTCCCCCCTCCCCCCTCCTCCTCCCCCCTCCCCTCCTCCTCCCCCCGACCCGCAGACGCAGGGCTGGATCCCTGAGCAGCGCCGCCCCTGCTCCGGGCAGGCCGGCCGATGAGTCAGCTGACGCGGGCGCCCCAGCCGCTCCGGCTCCCCGCGCTCCCCGAAGTGGCTGCGAGCCGGCCGCCCACTTCCAGGTTCGGGGACGGGAAAGTGATGCGCGCCTCCTGACGCCGCGCGGAGCCGCCGCCGCTCGGTCTGCGCTTTCGCCCCCAGCCCAGCCCAGATCCCCGTCTTGACCCGAGGCCACTTGGGGCGCGCGCTGGGCGCGGGGAGCTCGCCGGCCGCCCGGGATGGCCTCCAGTTTCAATGACATCGTGAAGCAAGGCTACGTGAGGATCCGGAGCCGCCGCCTGGGGGTGAGTGTGGACCCTCCCTCCCGCCTGCCAGCTCGGGTCGAGTCCCGACCCCCGGCCAGCGGCCCTGGGGGTGCCCGGCGCGCCTCGCCGCGCCTTCCCCGCTGGAGCGCACCCCGGGACACCCGCTGCAGCGGCTCTCGGCGTGTCGCCGGTCTATCTTTGTCTCCCGGGTGACTTGGCTTTCCGTCGGTGGCCGCGTGTCCGCCTCGGTAGCCTCTGGAGCCCATCGAATGGAAATAAATATTTCTCGGTAGCCATGGGAGGCGGCGCCGAGGAACCCGGGCGGGGGCGCCGAGCCTGCCGGTGCCCCGGTGCCCCCGCCCGCCGCCAGCTTCACTCCAGCGGGGGTGAGGGACGGATCGGCCGGGCGAGGAAGGGCGGACGCTCGGGTGCGAACCGGGTCAGTGACCCCCGACTCCGGAGAGACACATCTTTGAAGAGAAGGGCTTTTTTCGGAACTCCGGGCCGTGGACAGGGACCCAGCCTCGGCCCAGGAGCTGGCGAAGGCGCCGCGGGCAGATGTCCTCGTCCTGAGCCTGGGCAGGGGGTGCGCTGCTGTCTTACACCCCGGATGCCACTGGAGCGCGGTCTGCTTAGGGCGGAACCGAGCGCCTGGCACAGAGCTGGCGCGCTCTCCTTAAATACGTACTGAAAGGAAGGATGGAGGAACCGGAGGGCACCGGTGTGGGCAGATGTTGGCACGGGGTGGGTCCTCCTTTAAAACTCCCTCTCTGTGGCCCTTCTCCCTTCTCCCTTCATTGACGAACTTCAGAGACAACTGACTCTGCTTCTCTTTGGGCTTGAGTGATGGCTAAGGAATTCTTGAGGGAGGAAGAGGATATCGGAGTGATTTTTTTTTTTTTTTTAAATTTCAAGCTGCCTCATTTCTCTTTGCTTTGCGTCGGGTGCTGTTGCTGCTTTTTTTTTTTTCTTTTCATTGTGTACTTTGGGGCGAGGGGGTTGGGGGTAGAAAAGTTTACTTTGCTAATGTCTGAGAAAATGGTAATGTCAGGAATGGCCACAGGGGAAACTGGAACATCTTTCTCCACAAATACGTGTCGTTGGCACTGTTCTCTTGTTGGATCTTTGGGCTTGTTAATGCACCAGATAACTTTACTGGAAATTGAAATTTCACCATGTTAATTTAAACAGCTATACAGGAAAACATGCTGATGGGAAATACCCATAACTATTACAAGCTCTTACCTAGTTTGTTTCGGTCCTTTGCTTCCTTTCTTCCTTCCTCCTCCCTCTTCTTCCTCTCTTTCTTTCCTTTATTTTCTTCCTTTCGTTCCCTGCTGGTTACCATGTTTTAGCAGTTTTGCTGCTGGTTACCATGTTTTAGCAACTATGTCCTGTGTAATTGTGAATATACAAATATATAATTAGGGAGCAGTGTAAGAGAACTCACCAGTCCCTGTCAACTGTAAGTCTCCTTGCTTTTCTTCTCTGCTATGCAGACATTCTAATCCACAGGAACAGCTTTTGTTAGGGTCCTTAACCTACTGACTGTCATGCAAACGGTCAGAAATAATAGGAACTTTTTGTTTTTCATAACCTTGTGGGCCAGCCAAGTGTTACAGTGTTAAAAGAGCATTTGAAAACACCATTCTAATTTTAGATTTACTCCATCATGTCAGTTGAGGAAATTGATGAGACATCCATTCTGTGCTAGAGAGCATTCCAATAGAAAGAGGACGTGAATTATTAATGTACAAAATGTGAATTATTCATAAGGATCAGTTTATGCCAAATTGTGACACATGATGATTTATCTGAAAAACTAGTTACCATAACTTTCTAGTTTATAGTAATTGAGACTTTTTTCTGTAATATTACTACTGACATCATGTAGTCCCATGTGTGTGCCAATGTTTTTGGACAGATACACGAAGGAAAGGAAAAGTAGTTTACTTTGCATTTACTTTATATTTTATAGTATTTTGGATGCCAACAGAAGTGTACTTTCTTAGGATTTATTCATTGTATCTGTGTTAATACTCAAATAGATTTTGGAATATTTATTGAATGATAGTTATTGTTCATGGAGAGAAAAGGTCAAAAATAATCAAAATCTAGTTTTATTTGCTCAGTTTGGTTTTATCACCAGTTTACTTTTAAAAAGTGTTCTAAATAGTATAATTTATCATTAGAAACTGAGGAGGCTGACGGAAACACTGCAAGCTAAAGTTTTAATGGAGGCATCAAGAAGAATGCATTGGGAAAATGGCATAGGGACCTTCAGTCTAAAGAAAGAAATGTTAGTGGAGCTGATCGAGGCAGAAATAGCTTAGAACAGTCAGCAGCATGTGTAAGTCTCAAAGAGAGGTAGGGCTTATGTTAGTACACTGTAGGTGCTCAGTTCATGCACGCTGAACATGGATTGAACTAAAAGTGCATGCCTGACTTTGCAATTCATAAGCCTCTTGAGGAACTAATATGACATGGTGGCTTTATTAATGGAATCCAGACAAGTGTCTGAGGATTAGAACCATGTTTAGGAGAGTTTATAATTAAACAAGAAAACAACATTTCATGGTGAGCAGCTGTTGTACCTAGGAACGCCCCTGCAGATTTGGAGAAAGAAGAAAAGAGACAAACTCTCCTTCTGTTACTTGTTAGCTTTGTGACCCTTGACCTCTCTTGGCCTCAGTTTTCTTATCTGTACAGTGAACAGTGTTTAACGATGCAGTGAACTTCGGATAAGATAACATCTATGAAAATGCACTGAAAGCATACAGCTTTGGTTCTGATTGCATCATTTCTTTGGTATAATTAGAGACGAGTTAGGGTTGGTGGAAGGATATAGGAATTATTGATTTCCTTACCTTTCTATCTAGAAGTGTCCAAAGGCATACATGTTTATGCAGTTTTCATTGGATGCACTTTTTACAAATATAATACATTTAAGTGATTTGTGATTTGTTGTTGTTGTTGTTATTTAATACTGATTTGTTTCTCACGAGGGACCAAGAACATATACACTGCAAACATGCGCTGCTGTCTCCAAGGGGCTTATATCACGTTCACAGACTTGAGTGTTACTGAGGTCCTTGCCCCCACTCGTGTGTGTGCTAAGTCGCTCAGTCGTGTCCGACTCTGTGACCCCCTGGACTGTAGCCCGCCAGGCTCCTCTGTCCATGAGATTCTCCTGGCAAGAATACTGGAGTGGGTTGCCATTCCCTTCTCCAGGGGATCTTCCCAACCCAGGGATTGAACCCGCGTCTCTTATGTCTCCTGCATTGGCAGGTGGGTTCTTTACCACTAGCGTCACCCAGGAAGCCCAGCTCTCACACACATTTGTAGTTATCCCCACTAAAACACAGCATGCATGTCACACACAGACACACATACACACACATATAATACATTTAAGTGATTTTTCAACAAGGCATGAGACATTCTAAGACCATCCCTGTTCAGATGGGTCTCAGTGAGTGATATCTTCACGTCTTTACTCTCCAACCTCATCTCCGTTGGAGCTGTCCATTTGGGCCCTGGGGGCTGCATTTGTTCAGGAATGTCGATGGCACTGCTTTGGGGGATGGGGAGGGGTCTGTCCACAGTTGTTTGGCAAACCCACTAAAGGCATTAAACGTGTGTTTTTAGAGGAATGGTAAATCGGGTGATTTGCACATCATTAGCAGTGGGCCCGAGTCTGAGCAAACTCTGGGAGATAATGAAAGACGGGAAGCCTGGTGTGCTGCAGTCCATGGGGTCGCAAAGAGTCGGGCGTGACGTAGTGTCTGAACAGCAACCTCGGCCTCCCGCGTGCTCAGGGGCGTCACGGACTGTGCTCACTCGGGTTCTTCCCATGCAGCGGGGAGGATTGTCCAGGCAGGAACTGTCAGGACGTGTCCACCCGGCAAGTCTCAGGGTTTAAACTCACACCTGTTTACTTTATCTCCATGCAGTTCCCCTTGGTTACTTGATTTTATTTACTTTTTAACATTTATTTTTTGATTTGGCTGTGCTGAGTCTTAGCTGCAGCCTGTGGGATCTAGTTCCCTGACCAGGAATCGACCTCAGGCGCCCTGCATCGGGCGTGTGGAGTCTTAGTCACTGGACCCCCAGGGAAGCCCTTGGGTGGGTAGGTGTGTCGGGAAAGTCCCCATTTGCCTCTCAACAGCATCTCTGCTCACCCACCAAGGAAGGGCCTCTTCTCCCATCAGCCTACATCTTCATCTGGTCGGCTCTTAGTCTCAGACTTAATATATCCAACCACCCATTGTTTCATCCCAGCCGGCTTCTCCTGGAGTCTGTATCTCAGCCACTACAGGTCCCGGTATTTCAGTTGCCCTGGTGAAAATCAGTCAAACAATCAAACAAGCAAGCAGCAAAGGATCAAAACTTAGTCTCCTTTCTCGCTCCTTCCCTTATCTCTTAGCACCACAGCCAGTCCATCACGAGATGCTGTAAGCTTTGTTTTGGAAGTTCAGCTAGAGTCCAATGACCTCTCACACCATCTGCCACTACCGCCCTGGCCCAAGCCCCCATATACTGTCATACCCTCCTCGTTTATCGCCCTCGCTGCTCAGACCCCCAAAGCCTTTCCCTGCGATCCAGAGTAATGGCCTTACCACCAGCTCCGAGGTCCTGTGCTGACTCAGAGTGTCTTCTCTTGCTCCTCCCTCTGGAATACTGTTCCACCAGCCTATCTCTCTCTTCACCTCCTCCAACCTTTCTGCAAGTGCCGCCTTCTCATCGAAACCTTCCAGCCCTCTGGTTTTGTCTCTTCCCTCCTTCTGTCCCCGTGTCCCTTCCATTTTTTCTCTCTAGACTTAGCATCCACTTACCTGCTGATCTGTCTGTAGGTTTTACCTGTTGATTGCCTATATCTCCTGAATAGCGTGTGGAACTCCATGAGGGCTGGGACTTCTCTTTTAATTGTAGCTGAACCCCAGTGCCTGGAACAGTTTCCAGCATGGAGACACACCTGATGAAGGTTTATTGTATGAATGAATGAATGAATCCATCATTATAGCTGAACCCCAGTGCCA